TTCGGGGAAGACATCCTCGGGCCCGGCCTGTCCGACCTGCCGCGGGGGATGGAGTGGGAGCTGGGTCAGATGGAGGAGGAGCTGACGGGGAGGTGCAATCTCCCCCAGTCTCCCCTCCCATGACGCGGAGCCGGGCGAGACTGTTACTCGCCCGCGCTCCCGCTCCCACTCCGCCCCCTACTCCGCCGCCCACACCACCGCCCTGACGGGCGGGGGAGGGGCTACCCGCAAGTATGCGGGTAAGACCCCTCCCCGATTAGTGGGCGGAACACCGCCGAGGCGGTAAGGAGAGGGCCCTCCCCCAATAACAACGGGGGAGGCGGCCTGGGCCTGGCGGGCTGGGATTCCCGTCAGGCCCTGCCTCCACGGAGGCGGGCGGTAGAGGTCGTGGTCGCCTCTGCCGCCCAAAAGAGTAGTGGACTCCCCCTGCGGGGAGGAGTCCCCCCTCCCCCACGTCATCGGGGGAGGGAGCGCGAAGGCCCGCCTGTCAAACGGCGGGCCGGTGCGGGGGGGCGTCCGGAAGTAGTGGCTCTGCCAATTCCTGGGCGTCCCCCAAGTTAAAGCACCGCGCAGACCACCGTGTGGTTTTAGTGAGGTAAGCCCAGCGGCCGCAACGCTAGCGGCCGCAGCCGATCGCCATTAGGTGGACAGTCCCACATAACCCACTTGTAAACTCCCTTCCCAGAGGGGGGCCCGGGTATCCATAAAGGATTTCCACACGTAAAAAAAATGGAGACTATGGCCCACATAGTATTCGACACGCGGCCACGTCCGCTGCATTAAAAAAAAAGTTGACATAGCGGTCATCAAGAAACTAGCGGGATGGTCGGAAAAGTCAATGACATTTGACAGGTTCTACAATCGTCCTATTGTCAAGAAAAACTATACTTTTGCAGAAGCAATATTAACCTAAAAAATAAAACATACTTATACAAAATTCTGTATACAGGTAATTGCATTAATATAGAAACTAGTGTGCTTATACAAGGAACAGAACCCAGATCTAACTCTAAACATCTACCTAGTTATCTGTTAGTGATCTCGAGAACGAGACACGATGCATAATCGACCGGTCGAACGAGCCCGCCGAAGGCCTCCCTTTCTGCAAATCTCATTTAGAAAAATTAAATTTTTCCACCCAAATACTCATAATGAGACTTTCAACTATATGACGAGAAGATGGCGGACGGGGGTTCACTATAGAGGGCCACTCGTCCTCTTCTTCTATTGGCTGAAAATTATGGTAACTCCTAGCGGACTAAAGCGGTACTACCTAGTTATCTGTTAGTGATCTTCTCGAACGAGACCCTCCGCATAATCACGGTCGATTTTTAAAGCAAACCCATGTAGCAAAAAGATTTTTTAGACTACTGAAAGGTATCTTGTCATGTCTTGAGATGTCTTGCATTTTTTCTGAAAAGATGTCTTTTAGGGATCTAAAAGATGTCTTATGCAACATTTTGGGCTATGTTTAAGATATCTTTTAGAAATCTGAAGACATCTTGAAGATATCTTTAAGACATCTTATGTACCACTTTCAGATATCTAAAAGATGTCTAAAAGATATTTTGAAGACATCTTGAAGACACTTTTAAAGACATAGATACGAAATCAAGAAGTAAAGTAAAGTGTGCAAATTAGAAATTTGCACATGGCTTCCTCATGGAGGAAGCTTTATGAGCGAAATCTAATTTTTTTCGATGTTTCTTGAAGGTGTGCAAAGTGGAAATTTGCACATTTCTTCCTCATCATTAAAGTAGGCAAATTAGAAATTTGCACATTGCTTCCATTGTTATGTCTTTCTCATGGAGGAAGCTTTAAGAGAAAAATCTAACTTTACTACGATGTTTCTTGAAAGTA